GTTTATTTACAGATAATAAAAAACACGTTTTTTTGTTATATCATGTATGCAGGTACGTGTGTGTGTAAAGAGGGGGCGCCCGCTCTTACGTATACATACATATATGTTTGCGAATGTGTATTTAATATGAGATTTTGCATTATTTTAATTTCATTTTCTTCTAAATTCGATTTCTTAACTGAATCGATTTTTGATTTCGTTCGTTTAATTATCGGTTATGATTTTAATGAAATCCATTTTCAAATGGACTTTAAGTTTAACGTCAAACCAAATGTGCTCTTTTAACAGTTGTTTTCATGTTCACGAGTCGATCGTCGTAAGAACGTATGAAAAAGGAGCGGGTTTAAAATGCATTTTCAATAACAAATTAGCCGTTGAAGTTGATAGTCATGCTCTTTGAATGCGTACATACATGCATATAAAGGTAGAAAATTTAACTTTTCGAATAATTTAATGCGAACACTTGAAACAATTCAACTCAGCATAATAATAATGATATTAGCACGTACGAAAGTTCATTTACGTTATTTTACAGATTAATTTGTATCGCAAAATTAGATAAACAAAATGAAATAAAAATTATTATAAAAGAAGAAAAAATAAATAAATAAATAAATAAATAAAGCACTTTCGTTTGAGAGTCGACCGTTTAAATAACTGATCACGTTAAATAAATGAGGGCAACTAAGGCAACTAAACGCACCAAGCAAACTTATCTAAACAAATCAAGTTTGACGTGCTGAACATAAAGTAGTGGTTAATTTAGCAGTTGCGTGCACAATGGAGGAGTAAAGTTGTAAATATTTATACATATCTATATGAAGGAAAATTTTGTACAATTGTGCGAAATTTCACAGAAGATAATAGAGTTTAATTCTACTCTTATTTATTAGATAATTGAATTAATTTCTTTCCTTTTTCATATATTTACGTTCCCCACGTTTCATTTCCGCTTGTTGCAATATGCCAAAGCAATCGCTTTAATCGCTTTAACTATCGATAATAAATTTTGCCGTTCAATAAGTGTTAATTAACTGAGGCATGGCACAAACTTTGTATACCCAATAACACAGAACATTATTTTTCATTTCCATTTTTAGTAAATTTTCAAAACAAAAACCAGAGTAAGAACGCACTTAAAAACATCGAATTGAGAGAGTTAACTAAAGCTAAAGCTATTATCAATCTAAGGAGACGGCTTAGTTCCAAAACCAAAATACAAATATATACACAAATCTTCGAACATGATCAACAACAAATGTTTTGCACCTCTCAAGCCAGAAGATTATCATATGCAATGACTATGGGCTAAAGATCGTCTCCAAAGTTTTAGAGACAACGGAGATAATTGAAAAGCAGCGAAGCATATGTGTCTATTTCTAAACAAGAATTCTTAGCAACAAGGTCATACGACTGGCACCTGACGACTAAGGACCACGCCTGCGTGGCTATTATTTCCCATACAAGTTGCAAGAGTTCTTGTCTTTGGTAAATTTATCGAAGAGTCAATACGGCCGTGAAATCCTAACTCGAAAAATCACTGTATACATATATCCATGATTTTTAAACTTGTGTGAAAGTCTTACGAAACAAATCCATACCTAACCCAAAATTTTAAATCGTTCTCTTAAATAAGCTGCCTACCTTGGCCTAACAAGGTCGCTAGGTGAGAGACGCAAAAGAAAACAAAGAAGAAAGGTCGCAAATATTCCACTAACTGTAGGCGGATCGATAAGGCAAAGTCATCGTACTCGCTGTACATTTCAGATCGATATATGTCATGTCAGTTGTTGATAATGCGTCAACAAAAGCTCACTTATATATTTCTGCTTTTCTTCCAACTTACTTTCTTAGCTCTTCCCCTTACCCAATTCATTTAGAATCCCGCGCTGCTAAGGAATATACAGAAATTTATAAAGTCGCTAGATTATTCTGAATGTTGGAAATGAAATTTGTTCCTTATTTATAGGTGGTATGTGCAAGAATCTAATGTATGCGGCTTACATTAATCTTTGTACGCATACATAAGTACACATATATTCTTACATGTGCTTCGGCACGTCCGCTCTATTCTTGTAATCAGTTTATGGTAGAAACAAAACACATTTACACATACTCGTATATTTTTATCAGGAATACTAGAGTTTTATGTGCAGGTGCCTGTCTACCTTAATTCGTAACCTAAATCTGCAAAAAAAAAAAACAGCTGTTATCTTTCATAACCTTGACAAAGAAGAAAAATACACCATTTCGTGAATCTATTAATGTTAAGCCTAAGCAGCCATAAATTAATCTATAACATAATTTATATAAATTTGAAGTTATGCAAAGGACCTCTTGCAGGCGAAGTTTTAGAAAAAGGTTTCTTCCTCTGTCAACAACAACCGTTTTATGCCTTCAAGGGGTAGATATAAAAGATTCAATAACATATGTTAAATCGCTTCTGTCTAAGATCGAATTTCGTGTTACACTGCAAAAAAGCAGCGATTAGGTAATAAACAACTTCTTCAATTCAAATTAGAAAGAATCATTCTAACTAACTCAAAGTCTAAAAAACAATCTCGAGGAAGGTAAGTGACAAGACGAAGAGAACTAAGAATTTAAAATTAATGTTACGTCTCTGGAAAGGCTTAAAGCACATACTTAGCCACAACAGATCAGTTGTTCGTTTAGCAGGGAGTTTCTCATTTCGTCAGAAAGATGCAGTGGTCGAGAAGTGTTTGATTTTTTTAAACGTTCAATCACTAAGGGGATGTGATGTCTTCTAGACGGTGTAACGCGGTAATAATAGGAAATTAAAAAACTAAATTATTACAATTATTATTATTTCAGCCAGAGAAATAAGTTCCAAGACTAAACTCTTGAATCACTAGGCTGTAAGGCTACCGCTTTTACTGAAAATTCTGCAGAACTTGAGATTTGAACCCACGACTATTGAGTTGTTGGTTGCGTCGGTTTGGCTTCTGGGCCGATCAGGCGAATTAGGTAAAAATTAAAATACATCATTTTTGCTGTATAGCTGTGCGGACGTGTCACAAGTGTGTTCTTTCGAAAGCTTGTCTCTTTCTCACGTTCTTTTGCAAGTGTGCGGTTGCGCCGACGGACAGATGATCGAGCAGACATAGTTAGGTGCATTCCGAATTTGAAACTGACCTGCACTTTTTATACTTTAAGGGATTTTTGAAGCTTGTTTCGGTGCATTACAAAGGTTCTCCTAAATAAATTTAATTATGACGTAATTGAGCAGAGGTGCTAGAGCGTTCTCCATAGAGTGCGCGTTCAAAGTTTTTAGATTCATCTACTATAGTTTTTGAGTAATGTTCGAAAGCTAATTTTGAATTTCCTCTGAAAAACAGAACTTTTCTCAGTTTACAGTCGGACGGAAGAACAGCCAGCCGGTCGAACGACAGGCGGACTTGCTTAAATCGATTGATATATATATATGTCTAGTAATCCTCCACGCTTATAAAGTGAAAATGTACAGCGCAGCCTACCTGCAAAAGCCTGACAGTGGTTTTGAAATCATCGAAGAGATATGCCAACGGAATGAAAAATCGGCTATTCATATGAGATATATCAATGGAATGAAAAATCGACTATTAATACACCGTACATATACTAAAATTTTCATTTATTTTCGTGATGAACTCCCAAGAGTTTCACCTTGCTTTTATATAAAGACAAACCTTTCGCGGAACCCTTATAAGGGACGGGGTCCACAACGTAATCGTAATTTATCAGAATTAATTTTCTTAATAAATATTTTGTTACAGAATACTAAAAATTACGCTTTGTTTTCATATCAGGACTTACTCTTTGCTAGAATATATTAGATGGATATTAGGTGGGGTTACGAAAAGTAGATGTATGTTGCTCAAATTCTGGACCGCTTTTTGCTTCGAGATGTTAAAAGTTAGAGCTTTTTGCATTATAAAGGTTTGCTTTGCTTTATTTTTGGCCAGAACGATTCTAGCAGTTCTAAGCGTCAAAACCATGACCCAACCAGTTCAAAGATGCCTGCGAGCCTTTTTTGTATCATGACGCCTTGCAAGTAAGGCTTTATACGAGGAGTAATCGTAAAAGTGGTCTGCTGCAATTAATTTTTGTAGCGTTTGCCTTTAGGGCGGAACACCAATTCTCATCAAAATGTCTTAAAAATCGAGACATGTACGTTATACACACATATATATATATATATATGGATAGTCAAGCTTATGTCGAAGCAGAAAACAGTTCTAAATCTAATGGTACAGTAAAGAGAGAGGTAAAAGGGGGTTAATTCTTTCTAGGCGTTACGTACATCCGACCAAATTTAAAACTTGTACCACAAGTGGTCTACGGTTTAAGGGCTTGAGTAAAAGAACGCGTAATTTGTAAATGTTTATAATATATAGCACACCAGGATTTTGAGTTTAGGAATAAGGTTACGTGGATTGGACTTAATCGGAAAATCGACGGCAAAAGGTTGGGGAATTCGTCAAGCAATTTGAAGGTGAATTTTAATCTCAAAACTAGGCTAGATGTGTCGGGAGAGGGTAAGGCGTTGAAATCGGTGTTCGTAAGAACCCCATCCCATCGTAGTGCGATTAAGGAAAGCCGCTTCTGAACCTATTTCGTAAAACCAATGCATTATTGCTATGATGAGGATTGGATAACTGAAGAACTGGTTTTTAAAAACCAGTCTTACCACACGAACAACAATTGTTTAGTAGTACACGAGTGAACGAATTTCTTCTATCAACGTTCAATAAAACCTAGAAGGTCTTTCAGTTTATTGATGTGAATAGATAATGGATAAGAAAATTAAATCGCCTGTATTTCTTGAAGACAGGTAAGTAAACTACATATACGTTTTAAATTTCCACCGAAAATGATTCTTAAAAAGCTTTCGATGAATGGATGATGGAGGATTCTGAATCTGTCTTAACGTGAGATTCTTGATATTGATGAAAATCTTTATAAAACCGATATCGGGCTTGATAAAAACAGAAACTACTTACCCCCTGTTGCTCGCTTTACAACACGATGAGTAAAATTTCCGAAAGCCGCTACAGTGACGATCGAATCTTTCTTTCTACTGCTTATCTGAAACAATAGATAAACAGTAACAGTAAATTGCATGCAAATAATATAATCAAAGTAAAATTTGGAGTTAATCTAATTGAATACTTTTGCTTGAATTCTTCACCCAAAGTTAGATTGACAACATAATAATATTGTCTTTTGACAGGAATGGAGTCGAAAGCACATGCCACTTCTAAGACACCCTTTTCAAAAGTGCTTATATTTCCAAAAATTTGGAACATATCAAATTTGAACGTCCTAACCTTCCAATACTTTCTCAATTTGAGCCGTTAGAAGGCACAAAGCATTTTCTTTCTATGTGATATGCCAGGCTTAACAACCTTGTTGTACCCATCACCGGAAGGATGAGAGGTATATTTATTTTGTCAAAATGTGTTAAACAGAGTTTAGAAGGACGCTTCAGAGTTCCTATGAAGTATGTATATTCTTGGCCGGCATCAGATTCTCAATCATTTAGAGTATGTCTCTCCATCCGTCTATCTCTCCTTCTGTGTAATGTCTGTTGTAAACATTTTTCCAGTCATAGAAACGAAGCTGTAAAGTTCAAATTTGGCGGCAACCTTGAAAGGTCAAGTAAGTCAAATCGCCCGAACAGATCAAAGCACACGCTTACAACGCTCACACTCCTATATAACAAAAACTGTCAACACCTTGTCTTCTAAAATTAGAAAAATTCAGCTGGGCCCCCGCAATATTATAGGGTATGAAAATTTAATTTTTTCGCTATTTTTAGTCTCTTTTAGAATAACTGCGATGGGTATAGAACTTGAGCGTTTTCTTATGATTATTCCTTCAGAATACCAAAACTGATGGCAACTTAAAAGAGCTATAATGAGAATACACATTGTTTACTTTGACGACTAGTGCCCGATCACCATGTCAGACCAGAGTGCCTTTGCTAAAAAAACAATATTCAATTCATATTTTTTTAATCACGTTTCAATTCACCTTTTCATAGTTGGCTTCATTTTTCGTTTGCATTGGATTCAGTAATGCTTGATTGCACAAGTCCTCTCCATTTGCAGCTGCTCTGTCACTTCCTAATCCACCGACTTGTATGCTGGTGTCACAACCATTTTGCAAACTACATCGACGTAAACGTGATCTCCGTATTTTGATGCAATAAAATAAATTGCCATTTTTTTCATGACCAGTCCCAATAGTTTCATCGGCAGTTATAGCCGTAGTGTTAGCGTCATTAGGCCTTGCCACGGCACTTGGAGAACATCCCATATTGTGAAATGATTTTCGACTTGTCTTCTTCGCTAAGTGTATTTTTATTTAGTAAGCTTATCAAATGAAACTTAATCTTTGACTTGAGCTTTAATGACCAGCATTATGGCACAGATGTTTGTTTCATCTACGTAATAGGTAATATGTTGTGATGTTTAAATTATTATTATTATTATTGTTGTTGTTGTTGATGATGTTGCCTTGTTCATTTGTTAAAAATTTGTTTCATTAAAATAAATATCGCAGTTGACGGCCTTTCATTTACAATATTGTGATTTACACAGCCAGTGTCTTGCACTTTTGATGCACACATAATAAGCTTACTTTTATTGCATTTGTTATACATATTCTTAATTATTGTTTATAGTGCTTTTACGCGTTCATCATCCAGCTGTCTTCCATTATCTGTAAAGACGTATGCAAAGAAAATGAAATTAATGAACCTGTCATCATGCATCGTGCAATTTATATGAGACAATAACACATGTATATATAAATGCAGAGAGCATTGAAAAATAATTTATATAATATAAACATAGCTTTATATGCTAGACCATTCCTTTTAAAGTAACTGTACCAAGTGTACCGCGTTATACGCTGTCTTTTCGTCATTTTCAACTTTTGGTCTTAAATGCTAAGTGATGGAAGTGGTAAGCAAAGAGATAAGGAGGCGGAGACAAAGAGTTGGGCTTTCTTCTTAGGAAAATTAAGAATTCTCCTTAGCTCTCAAAATATTCCGTCAGCGCTATAAAATTAATTAATGTCATTAAAATAGGGGGAAATAGAATAGTAATTAGATTGTTTTAGAAAAATTTGGTCTTGAAGAAAACTCTTGTTGAATACATTTGCACACTTGTGGGAATAAAGCCGCAGGGCATGGTAAAAAGCTTTGCAAAAAGTTACGAAAACTTTACTTATCTAGATTTGCTCTTTCAGGATGACAATGTTTCCAGACGAAGATGTAAGATCTTCTAAATACAAAAAATATAAATCAAGACAAGTAAAAACACTATAAACGCCTTACACCACCCCAATTCCTACTTATTCATATAAGGGCTTCTCAAAACATGGTGTTGTAGGACTGAGGCAAAGGACTGAGCGGATTTGAAACATATGCAAAAGCTTTTGTGCTTGGACCAAGGTTAGTGTACCAAATTTCATCAAAATATTTCACAAAATTGCGCCCGGCAGGTTGAATACAAGAACACATAAGGTACGGACAAAACGGCAGTCTACATCGATTAGTGTAATGAAATGTGGGTCTTTACTATATCCTTCTGGGTATTACACGTCTGGTACATTCTTAGTACATCCTTATACTACAAGACATGCGGGGTATAAACGTTTGGCCTCCAAATAGTTCGTTTCAAACTCAAGGACTCTGTTTGGAAGTTAGATGAAAAGTATCGTAAATATCTAGCTTATATTTAGCTTATATCTAGCTTACGGTAAGTACTCTATTGGGCAGAAATAACTTTTCACGTACCCGTTTAAAAAACATCCATGACAATGTGTAATATAAGATTATTTTAATTCTAACAGAGTACTGCTTGCTTTTAGGCAAATCTGTTAGCTAAAAATTTTGCATATTTTCAGGCTTTCGTCAAATATAAATAAGATGTGAATAATATCGGCTGTTCGAAGGAAGTCTTGGCCCATTCATTTAACCAGTCACCAAGCACAGGCGTGGCAGATTCATAATGAGAATATTTTCTGTTAACGAAGACAAATATTCTGTTCATAAAAACAAAATCTAAAAAATTTCTCTTTAGTTATTTTGAAAATTTGGAGAGAAATACTGTATTGCATATGGTATTGCCTATTACTTAACAAAAGAGTTTGAAAAGGCCTTGCAATGGATAACGGAACGTGACTTTAATTACATTTTTTGCTGATGATCACCTCATGGCGTGTTATGAACAATGATTTGATTGTATTTAACATTTCTTTCGTAGTGGTCGTGTTGTGTGGCCAATCCGTATTGCGACCTAAAAGATCTATTGCACTCGCCCATGTCTTTAGCCTTTCAGTTTTAGGATTCTTATGAATCGCGTCACCTTCTTTATTTCGGAGGGACATACAGTGTCTGAAGGTATTAACTATTCAGCTTACATCTAGATTCTGATTCTGCAGATGGCTTCGCATGCACGTAGAATGTGACGGCACGTTTCATTCTCGCAGAATCTGCGTGAATTGGTATCAGAGATGCTTGCCTGAGGTAATTATGGCAATACGTAAGACGCTTTTTCTTAGTAGTCGTTGCTTATTTGACGTGCCGGGTGATTTTATAAATTTTTCCGCTTGCCATTGTTTACATAAAGGTTTGGATCTGTCATGGCCACTCACACCCCATGTTAGCTAGGCAGTCAGCCCTCAATGGCGAACTTCGTTATGCTTGTAAAATTTAGTTAAAATAAAAGTATTTTCTTCGAAATCTTTTACGTGAGTTGTCCAAAGTACTGCATGGTTCCGCCCAATGTCTTTCGATTTTGAGGCACATTATGTATTGCTTGAAATTGGAAATTCATAGACTTTTATAAAATGAAATTAGAAATATTTTCAGAGTTGCTTTCGATCATTAGCATGAATTGCTGTTTATACACTGTAAGGCGTGAAGTTTATGTACTGAGCATTTAATACTCGATAAAGGCTATACTTTATATATGATGAAGTTAAATTTTTAAAATTGCTTTTCTTCAATCAAATACATTCGCATATTTATTTTTCTATTCAAAGAAGAACTCTTAGCATTCTTTTTTTTTGTGCTTTTTAATTATGGCAGACATTAAAACAAAACATTTCATATAAAATTCTATTTTCGATTTTATTTTCAATTCCTTCTTTTGGCATTCGTTCAATAATTCGTTGTATTCCATTCCCACTCTCTCTTCAGAAATTACTCTTAAGCATTTGTAGGCATCAGTAAGCTGAAATTGCTTATCAAAATTCTCCTTCTCCTTTGTTTTTTTTTTCTCAGAATAAAAAAAAATAATTAAAAATATTACAAAATAGTAAACTCATTAGGAATGTATGAATACAGAGACGATAGCGGAAATCGCTTTTCACGTATCATGACAATAAAGTGACATTCGTGCACGTTTCTATAAATCTGGAAACATCAAAAACAGACAATACTACGATAAATGCGAACAGATAAAGTTGCTGGGGAGACAAGAAAATTGACAGACTGTCCTTATCACGTTTCTGCCCGGAGTCAAACGCAAGATCACTAATTTAAGCGTAGAGTTTTTAAAGTAGAGAACAATAAAAGCGAAAATTATGTAGCGCTGCGTTACAACAACCAGTGATGCATATGAGAGTAGTATGTATGTAACGTAAAGACCGGTGTTAGGTATTACCTCATGGAGGCTGATTGATAATATTTCGCTTTTCTGCTGGGTGATTAGTAGCTTTACTTTCTAGTTTCCATTACCCCCTCTCTCCTCTCCTCCGCTATCTTATTAAGTGGCGCAGCTAACGGAACATTTTTGCTAGCGCTCCCAACTTTCGTACTGCCAATCATATTATTGACGATATTTCCCGGCTCGCTTTGGGCCATCCTTGCTCGAACCTTCTGCGGCGAAATATGGCGTGCTAATCAAATTCCTCCATATCGATCCAATTCGGACACAACAGAAAATCTGTGCAAGTACTTCCGGAAGCACCCGTCGCCAGTCAGAAAGGTAATAATTCGTCTCCACATCCGTTCTGCCAAACCACTGCACTAGGTTTGGACTAAGCGCGAACGTCTTCCTTACTTTCGGCGTTCTCTCAAACCATCTGAATTTCGTGGCAAAAGGACGTCCAGTTTGCCTTCATAAGCACCTATCTTTAGGTATCGTCGTCATAAGAATCGAAGCAATCAATAAATTATCAAGTGGAACAATTACAAATTAGAAACCTTACGGAACAGATGAGCACAGCGTGGTGAGTAGTGCACTGTATTTCAGTATTGTTAATGTTTTCTAGTTAAGTTTTCAAATATTTGGACAAACGTCATCACCGTGCCGCAAAACCGCGATATGGTGATTTTACCATAGGGATTTGCTTGGAGAAACGCACAATACTATTACGTCCAGCTGATGCCGTAGCAGATCTAAGACTCGTCACCGATAAGCACATTGTTCACTATATTATTCCATACCGCTTCATAGTCGCTCAAAATCGATGGAGTCGCATGAACGCTTCCCTTCTTTTACTCAACAGACAAGAACTTAAATGTCAACTTTGTGCGGTTTCTAGTTTAATGCAGATGTCCATAGGCAAGCTCCCGGACACAAAAACACAAATTACTGAAATACAACCAGTCAGTCAGTCGTTCAATAAACACTTTGTTTAGTTAAAAATCTCTGGGCTAGTGATTTGCACACGTATGTGTCGTCCAATCTACATCTGCTTTGTAGATTACAAATATCCATGAGGTGCTCTCGCACTATCATCTTTAGCGCAGCGCCCTAAAGACCTCACATTTAAGCTTTGATAAGCATGATAAACATACCCAAGTGATTAATGTCCGCCGTCATTAAAATGTTACGGTAAACATACATAATTAGCAATGAACGTTACATTGTCTGTTGTTTAATATAAAATTTTTCGTAAAGTTTATTAACGTCATTTGTCACAGTTAAAGGCCTTCGTAACCATGACCTTGGCTTTCAAATGAATTTATAATTTTGTTGAAAATTTTCGAAAACAATGACGCGGTTGTTTGTTTTCAATATTAATGCATGATATGAAAATTGAGTATTCGTGCTACACAAGGAAATTCATATTTTCATATTCATAAAACGTATAAAAAAGTATTAATTTTGTCTACAAATTGCTGGCCTTAAAAGTTTAAATTTCAACTAACTAAATGGTAAGCGGAAGTAATTTCAAGCAATCGCGTGAAGATATTTGAATACAAAGACAGATAAAGTCATAGATTGATGAACTTTTTCTAGTTGAAAATCTTGCGTATGCATAAAGAATCATTTCAGGGTTTTCTCAATATTCAATATTCTTGCAAACTGGGAAGTTTTAAGCATTGAAAGTAAGCCGAGCAGGCATTAAAACTCCTCATAGCAGGCAAATGTATGCATGGTCAACATGGGCCAATAAGTGGTTCCCGTTCGAAAGTACTGCCGTGATGTTATGGCACTCGTAAAGTGAGAGAAATCAAGCTCAAAGGAGTGTAGATTGCTTGTTTGTAGCAAATGTTGTAAGAATTCCTGGACACCTATATTGCTCTATAAAGAAAAACAACGAAATAGTAGCTAATCATTGGCCTTGGATTGCATCACTCTTGATAAACAGGACTCCGTGTTTGTAAATAAAGTCGAATTTTGCAAAAAATAAAAAAACTACTCTTTTCTCTCAGAGTTCCGTCAGTGTACTATCAGACGGAAAATTTCTAAAATTGAGAAAATTGCAGCTGACATTAATCTAAATGTAGATAGAAGTACTTGTCGAGACAATTTAAAGTCGTTTAAAAATTCTGCTCACATAATAATAGATGTCATTGGTCGATTGAAACGACATGGATAACGCTCCACATACTACTACATGTACGCGATAAGACTGTCTGTATATATAATGATTGACTTTACCGGAAACATATATAATTTTGCTTGTTTCCTTGTCTCAATCGCGAACTTGTTGCTCAGCGATCGAGGGGGATTTCGATGTATGCAGTAGCACTAACGAATTACTGATGGCGGTGCAAAGAAATTAATCCTTAACTAACCAGTGATCTCTAAAGATGGAGCAACAATATGTCTTGTGCTCGGGATATCTTGACTGTAATCCATACGCTTGCGTATGACTATCATGTTTCTCATAAGCTATTGTATGATTGAAAACAATGGTAGGCTAGATTGTCAAGTGTGCTAGGAGTGAAAGATAATAAAGCGTTAACGAGAAATGCAACTTTAAGGTGACAACAAGCATACACTCTCCGCAATGTGGGCTGGTCGTTCGCGAGTTCAAGTCTCGGAGCGACCGTACGTAGGCGTTTTGGGTGAAAACATGACACTTGCCGACAGGTAGTGTCCCTATCTCTTTCTATTTCTTTTCTTCTTTTTGAACGTCACCATACGTTATCGTTGATTATCAAAATAAAAAAGAAAAAAACAAGTGCTTTGTTAAAAGGCCAAAGTTTGAATCAGGATCCAATAGTTGTCCTAGTAACCTGAATAAAATTCAGATACTCTTTTGTATTCTTTTGTTTAGTTCACAGTTTATCTTCGTTGCTTGGATGTAATAAATTGGAAATATCTTGGGTCTGTCAAGGGTTAAATTGCTATGCAAATAATATTTGTTACTTTGTTAACCAAAAAAGTGTAAAAATTCGTTTAGAAAAATAAATTTTGATATAAAACCGTTATTTAATGCTACAAAATCGCTATTGAAATGAACAAAGCAGGCACACTAAAGCAAATTATCAGTTACGAAAAGGTTGCCTGCCTGCCCTCATGTGTACACACTTTGATATATAATACGTAAGCGCTAACGTTTGATATCTATACGCTGGTATAACAAAATTATTACTTTATCTTTATAGTTTTTTTTTATTTATTTCTTTGTTTTTTATTAAGCTTCACCATTTCCATGCATGTGCACGTAAGTTCTTTGATTAACACGCATTCAGATTTTTGAATTTGTGAAAGAGAAATCGTATGTGGTAAGAAAGCAACAAGTGTGGACTCAATGAGCATATTTGTTAACGGCATTGGTGCTATACTAGTTCAGCGACATATGTCACGTCTTGTGATTGTGTTGGTATAATAGTAATGACACTAAAAAAAATACAAATAAAAATATACAATGAATGAGTAATAAGTAAGAAAGCGGAAGAGAGAGAGAGAAAGAGAGAGAGAGTCTTCTCTGAGTTCTTAACTGCGTCTTAGCAGACAAAACTGAATAAGAATAGAAATTGAAAAACACAAAACAAGCTATGCGTATGGCACGAAAAGTTAACACCACCTATATTTGCAATCAGAGACAACGAAATGCATGCATACATATCCTAACATTTTGTTTAAAATTGAGATTAAGAGAATTCTAGGGACTTTTTACGTATCCGTTATCAATAACATTACTAAGCCCTGTTTATTCCAAGCCGTTTGTATCTTTGCTCTCTCGTTCTCATTATTTACATGGGCGAAAATTCTGTTAATAGTTTCTTGATATGACGTCAAATCCCATTGAACATTCGCAAAGCAGAGCTATGCACCACATTTGTACACATATGTACGTGTGTATGTACGAAAAGTGAACAGGTAGAATATGTAATTGTAAACAAGGTGGACGCTTATTCTCACATGTTTGGAATTATTGAGAATCATTTTCAGTTGGCGGCAAATTTTTGTACGCTTATTCTCAGATGCTCGCAACAAATACAAATACTTGAACTTTAAGAAAACTGAATCCGCCTGAGTAGCCGAGTAGGCAAGTCAATGGTCGTGGGTTCGAATCTCAAGTGCGGTAGAGTTTTTTAATAAAAGCCGATAGCCTTAGATGCTAGTGCTTTTAAGAAGTTTAGTCTTAGAATTTATTTCTCTGACGAAATTAATAATAATAATAATAATAAGAAAACTCAGGACTTAAACAAAAGATATGACGCCAAGATTGTAACGAAAGTGGCTCCGAAAAACTCGGCCATCTGGGGGCATTGGAAGAGGAGTGGCGCCAACTTGCTAATTACCACAGCCAGAAATATCACAGAAGCAGCCCAATTTTTCACATCGGCTATGTCAGCAAAGTTGGAAATGAGAATTAAGCAAGGAATCATCGGTAGTGAGGTAGAAGTTCGGAGGTACGAACTCTATGCCGCCATGATCAAATTCAACAAAGTTTTCCATAACAAAACAATTGAAGATGCAAATGACGCAGGAGACTTGCCCAGCGAAACCCACCAATATCTGGAACCAGAGTTTGCAAAGCCGGAAGTATACGACGCGTTTCGTACCGCCTGCATCATATACAAGTCCGTGAGGCTGAAACATAAGGTGGAACGGGACATCGGCAAGCGCCTCCAAGCACGGGTTGCCTTCTTCAGGGAGGCAGGCTCCTGTCCCGACGGAAGAAGCCACAGAAGAAATCTGCTTCATGATCAATTTGCAGCTGACGGGGGTAAACTGGGAGCAAAAAACCGTCATTTTAAAAGTGCAGCTTTCTGGTCGCTGCCTCGCCGCCTCATAAACACGAAAGTTGGTTGTATGCTAAACGTAAGTTTGCATTTACCCTCACTTATTTTTATTTATAATTTATTTAATTACTTCTATTTCATTTTAGATAGATCAATTCATCCACTTGGGCTACGAGGAGCAATGTCGTTTGCTTTGGCTATAAGAAACACTTTAGCAGAGGCCCGCTAAACCTTGCTAACCGCCACTACTTTAATTGTTATATTCACAGTCATCATCCAAGGTGGTACCGCAAATTTTTTACTTAACTGGCTAAAAATACCGTAAGTTTCTGGATATAGTACGAGAAAAAAGTGTTTTGTTTTTTATTTTCGTCAACGTGCGCAGTGTGAGTACTTGTAGAAAATTTGTATGACCTATCTTTACCTAGGTTTAAATTTGTATGATATATTAGGTTTATCGAAATGCAAGTGCCGGAAATTTTGAATGACGAGACAAGTGAATTAAAAACTTTAAGGTTATTATGCGAGTACCCTTAGTTCTTTCAGCCCAGGTCAGAGAGAGAGAGAAAGAAAAGTGATGAAAGTTGAATATAATAAGGTATTTAACGATCATAAACTTTACGCTAACAGCATTTCGATTGGTCCGTTAACACTGTCTTTCTTAAACAGTTCTCATAAATCTACCCCGTAAACAGTGCTTAAGAAGAATTCGGTTTCAAGGCGTACCACCTTAACTTCAGAAAAATATTTTTTTTAATTTCGTACCATCCAGTACACATTAGAGTTCCTACAAACTGCATACAATTTCTGATCACCGAATTTAGTTGAAGCACTGCGTCTCTTTGTTTTTACGCCCTACGTCACTTGTGGTACAGGGTGTACTAACTTAGTGCAGTCGTATGTAACACGCAGAAGGGCTTAAGATAGGCGCCCCTTTTATTATGCCAATCGATTCAGAATCATAATCTGAATTGATCTAATCCTGTCTGTCCGCCTGTGTGTCCGCCTGTGTGGCCGAACTCTATCCATGTACATATGTGTTCAAGCTACAGGTTGCAATTTTTGAGATATTTTGATGAAATTTGGCATAGTGATGTGCTTTGACCCAAGGACGAACGTTGTTAAAAAAAGGTTCGAGTCAATCCACTTTTTCAATGCCCTACTCTCAAAAGTTGTTATGTGGAAAACAATTGCAGTTTGCCAAAATTCTCTGCAAAAGTGACTAAGTAGTAGCATTTCGGCATTCTAAATTAGTGCGAAAGGTTTGGACCGGCTGGGGCAATTTTTAAACGCCCTCTCATATAGGCAAAACTGTATTTCTTACGAGAAAAAGGTATAATTTTCGATGCTTCATGATGAAAATTATATCATAACAGTAATTTAACATAGAAGGATTAACTTTGCCAAATTTGGACCATCTCGGCCTATTTTTTGGATCCGACCCTAACAACGATTTTCACAAAAAATTGATCCTTTGTAAAGCCGAAAAATATAAGTTTTAATAAGTGCCAAAAAAAATGCACAGAAATGAATTCCACAAAATTTGGGCCTTCTATGCCTATTTTTGGATCCTGCCCTATGTAAGGCTTAAACTTGTCTCAAATTAGATTACGTTTTGGACCCGCTTCCCCAAACATGCGCACAAGGAAAATATGCCTTCGTATAGAAACAAGATATAATTTTTTTGGTCTGTAATAAATATAAGAAGTGTGTCAGGCAATGTGGTGTAGGGTATTTAATAGTCGGCCCTGCACGACTATAACGTTCTTAGTTGTTCTAATTTATTGTAGGTATAGTTATAATGAGAAAATTTAAATTTAGATAAGCGCAAGTTAGGTAAATAGGACCTACAGTGAGTCTAATGAACATTGGGTTTCGTCGCCCGGCAAAAAGTAAACGCTTGTTAAACCCACTCCCTTGTCCGAACATAAAAATTTTTTACACTATTTCGTACTACTAGGGAATACATATTAAAATACAAAAAAAAAGAAGCAAAATATTATTCCAGTAGACAAGAAAATTAAATAACTTTACATAATAACATAGCGTCATTAATATTGGGTTTTTTTCGTATGAGTATTGATAGGACGAAAAAACAGGATTTTATTAAAAGTGAATATTTGGAAGAGTATCCTTTTTGCTACCCTACACCATTTGTGGAGCAAAAGTATATTAAGTTTGTGCGGATGTATCCAATACTCAAGAGGACTTGAGATAGGTCCACTTTTTATTATTCTGATCAATTGTGAATCAATCAAAGCTTTTCTCCTCGTCCGTTCGTTTTGTTTTCTTGTGTTTAACCTGCATTTTTTCGATCACTTCTCACATAAATCCTTCTTTTGAAAATTTGTTATATGGAAAAAATTAACCATTCCTAGGTATAGTTTTCAATACTTCATGATGAAAGCTCCTTCGCAATAGTAAATTGGCAAGGAAATCAACCGTATTGAATTTGAGCCACGTAAGTCCAGTTTTTGGATACCATATAAGGATTCTCGGGATATGTAAACTCTTAGGTAAATAGGCCTAACCGTTGTTTTATCAAGGAAATTTATTCACGATTTAGTAAAAAATTTAGTAAAAAATTAAGAGTACGGAATTTGGACTACTTTTTAAGCAAGTCCATATGTGAAGAGAAAGTGTAACTTCTAGTTTTTTATGCTGCAAACCGGACAATATAAATACAACGTTTAGGAAACAAATTAAGATTGCTAAACTTGGATTAAGTCTCGTGTTGTTTTGGGCACCCTCCACGAAAATAACGAAAATAATATAATGTGTAATTTTTGGTACCAAACAAGTAAATTACTGTACTCGGAAACGTGGCGTACGGTATCTAATGGTTGATCCTGTTCGACTTTAACACTCCACAAGTTATAGGAAATTACAAATGCTTTTGGGTGCTTTTCCGAAATTAAGTGAGCAGAAGACACATGGTCGTCTCATCTGGATTAATTAATAGAGCTATAGTTTAGCATCAAGACAAGAGGAAATTTCGGAGTTCTCTTAAAATGAATGCGAACCTTAATAATAAGCGAATCTTAACATTAACACGAAACTTAAGAAACTTAAGATAGGTTCCACACAGAAACTGTACCAATCGCTTGATATGGGTAATAAACTAACAAATGTATCTCTATGTGCTTATAACTGCAGATATAGTGGCATGAAGGATGCATAAAGTTACTTTGTGTATTTTATCATTAGCATGGCTTCAAGAGACTCAGATGATGATTAGCATCTAACAATCAAAATATTTGCAAAATATTAAAAAATTTGGGTTGAATGGAAAATTCCATGAAACCGCTTAGAATGCAGAGCAGCAGTGAATACAATAGACTAGTCATAAAGTTTGAAGGAAACACATTGGATCTCATGGGAAAGTTCCTCCAAAGCCTCGCATTAAGACAGACATTGATAACAATGCGCCATTATGAAGTTTTTGATAGGAGAAAAAAAAATCTGATAAAGAATATAGATTTTAGCGGAATGGATTTAACTATGTTTGCCACATTATGTTCTTACGTTCTGTTAGTCGTGTACCCACGACTGCGACTTGAAAAAATATCTGTACTATATTTTTTATGATACACTATACAATCTTGCTTCCGACATAACGAAGTTCGGCTCCATGTGACAGAAGCTGGCCAGGAAATGTTAGCAATGCCAACTGGGAATGTGCCCCGTTGTTATCACCAGGCATTACACCTTCTGATTAACATAGGGTGCTATGTGTGAATTGTTGTCTGTCCGGGAAGGGCTTCCATTCTTAAGATGGTATTAGTAAAATGAATTTTTATGCGCACGGCCACTGTAAACGCTAGTTCTCTTTTCTTCACAGAGCTAGCGGTCAGGCAATTTTTGAATAGCATAAGCGTAAGCACCTTTTATAATAAAATTTTGCACATCGAAAGAAAAAAATCATTTCTACGACGGCTGACCAAGCTGTATAAAAATATGAATTATACTAGATATATGCGAAAAGATCTGCGAAATATATTCAGTAAATTGATTTTCTATGTTGTAATCAAAAATGGAAAGCATGCAAGTAGTGAGTATTAAAAATGTCTGCTAAGATCGAATGTAACTTTTTACTTAAAAACTCTTAGCTCAATATAAAGTAAAGAAAAGCATATATATCTTACGAACAAGGTATTAAAGACCAGGCAAAATATTTAATACATATTATGGCGTGTAACCTACTACATCGTTGATCGTTGTTCATTGCAATGTGTGCTAAGTGTATTTGATTCAGAAGACTGAGATTATTTTTTATTTCAATTCTCTTATAATCTCATCCGCATCTACGTATGTCTGTTTATACAATGTATAACTAAAGACAAGATGTGCCCACTTTTTATTCAAAATAAGAAGTAGTAAAATCTCAGGGACCTTTGATTTTCCTCTTATTAATGTTAATTAATAGTGGCTCGATCGCTTGCACTTTCATTCTCCTTATTTGTATTGCCCAAAGGTACAATTAATGAGATCTTGATATGACGTCACTCTGTATCAAACGATTACAAAGTAAAAGCATATAGAATTCGGTTTTTTAAGTGAATATACAACGTTGCATACATATAAGTGAAATCAATATTCCGTTAATGGCGGTCGCAAACTTTTTTTTTTTTTTTGAAATATAATGAAAACGCATTGCCCTCGCTTGTAATGCTCAATTTTTACTAACTTTTAATTTGGGGGGGGTAGCAATCATTTCTATTATTATTGTATTGGAAGAAAAAAAGCTAAAGACCAAAGAGAGCAAACATAACTTGTTTCCGCTTCATCGTCTAATTCATATTATAGAAGAATTCTAAATTTTATGTTTGACAACTGCTTCAACACATTTCGGCGAAAATTTTCGATTGGAATACGACAACATTTTTATGTAATTAAAAATAACGAACCGATCGGAAGAATAAAAGCTGAGTTCAGTGTATTTCAACGCTATATATGCAGAAGTCTCTCCATGTGCTTAACGTGGATACTTACGTGGATGCCGTGAAGGCTTAACCCCACGATGCCCAACGGCACACGTAGTGTGGAAAGTCACACTCAGCATCCTGAGGAAAAACCTCGAGTTCCAGTGGAGGTACGTATATGGTAGTATATTCCCCCCGGTGAGGGCGAGGCACTTTCTAAAACCTCTGTCTTTCTTTGGGTCAGCCACCCGGCTGCTATCCAACTCCGCACCGAGCCAAGGCTCTTCCCGCAATTTGTGCCAACCACAGCCACCACAAAACTCCCGCAATGGGCCGTTCCCGCTGACAGGCCGAAGCTGACACCCGTGGTACCGAATATAATGAAGGAAGTAATGAAAGAAGAATAAGAAAGTCTCCGGTCAGACTTAGCAACAGGTCCCATACGACCTGAAAACTCGGTATGGGATAGAATCTGCAGAGGA